AGGAAGTCGGATCCTACTCATACAGTCGATATATGCAAAGTACCTGACGCGGAGTTTGACGCCGGTTTGCGTGATGTCATGCACCTAAGCAGTCGTTCAGGAGATGGGTGTGAAAGGACGTCGATACGTGGTGGACGGGCCCATGAGTGGACGGCAGGCGCGCTAGGCGGGGGCACACGCGACCTGACAACGCGACGTAACAGTTTTAACCCGCGGCATAGACTGGGTGAACCCCAACATGTACCTGATGGGGATTGGATTACTATTAGCAGCACTTTTGCGACCGACTATCGTCCACCAGCTGTGCCATATTTACCGTTGCCGTGTCTGTCTACCTCCCCTGCGGGCTCAACAGCAGCGCCGTTATCGCATCAACACACGCATAGAAATTTTGTCCCACCTCTGGCTGAGCGAGGTATGCTGAAGTCTTCTCCTTAATCAGATCTTCGTGACTCCACTCCTCCAGTGGCACATCCTCTAAACCCGTCACATCAAACCGAAAGTACTTCATCCAATTGCGCTCCATCAACGCAGCATGTTCGGCTTCGAATCTATCACCCCACGATCTTGCTTCGGCCTTCCTATCCTCAACGCTATTCGCCATCTCGGGAATCTCGTTTTTGCGATTCAGGCCGACGCCCGTACCGACTGAGACAATGATCATCATGTCGTTCGCATATCGGAACAGCTTCCTGCATTCATACAGGATGTCGCGAACTGGGTTGTTCTTTGTAGTCCCATGATCGACGAGGCCCTTCTCAATCACGAAGCGTTGCGGAACCCCTGGCTCGGATTGCACATATCGTGGGGCTGCTGAGGTCGCCTTCATTGCTTGCCATATGGGCATGTTGGGTTCCAGATCCGGTCCAGTTATGCGCCGTGTTTGGTATGATCGGATAAGAGCAGCTTTGTTCGTGCCTTCAATTCGTTAGTGAATTCGACCACGCTTCTCACTCCAGTACGTACCAATATCCATTTGTGTCGTAATTGCGAAACTTTATCGAGTCAGTATGTACGTCGCGGATGAATAGGGTTTACTCACACGTCGCCCGAGTCGGGCCGTCCATCTAGGAGTACTTCGTCTGCGCTGCCTAGCTCCTGCTGAACCACGCTCTTGATCTCGTTCTCTAACGCGCTGTCGTCAGGCTTCTGTATCTGTGCATGAGGGTCGAGATATCTGAAGTAGGCCCTTTTATTGTCGAACACTTGTTTCGCGATCTGCTTGTAAGCTTCTCTTGCTCTGTGGGCTTGCATACGCAATCGACATAGCATGATGGCTATTATACCGCCAAGAGAACTGCCACCTGTCAAGTCGAAAATCTGGTGGCTGTCTAAGCGCTGCCCAACTTTGACGCAGATCGCGTTGACCAGCGATTCAACTAAAAGGAGAGCAGATAAGCCCCGGATACCGTCACCGTCAATGGAAAGCAGAATTTTCGTCTCTCTCGTTCTCGAAAGGATGGCTGGTAGAGGTGCTGCTTGGTTTGGTGTCGGATCATGTAAGGCGGGATCGATGTACTGCGAAGATGGGCGTATATTGTTTTCAGGAGCTGCTTGAACAGTGGGAGTCGATTCTGACGGTATTTGGGTGGCGCCAGTTGGCGCTGCAGCTTGAAATGCGTACGGGGAAGCATACACGGTTGCTGTCGTTGCTGACGAAGGCGTACTATGATCGCGTGGCGAGCCGGGGAGAGCATTCTCAACCACCGTTGACGGTGAAGGTGTCATGAGACCAGCTACCGTAGTATGGGTGACAATCGGTTGTGATGGAGCCTGGCCGTATATGGGAGCTAGTGGTGGAGGCCCTGTAGCAGAGGGAGGTGGAGACGGCCATGGAATGTATCCAGAGTAAGGATCCCGGATAAGTCGCAACTCTGCTTCTTCTGCAACGCGTCGGACATCCGGATCTTGAGCCTTGCTTCGATACGTTAGTCTCACTACGGGTGATATCTGGAGAAGACGCGCGACGTACTACTTCACGTAGCTGACGTCCCAAGGCTCCCAGCGACCGGACAGCAAGAACTGTATCGAGGAAGGAAAGGCGGAGTCATGGAAGTAGTGTGTGCCCTCTACCGCCGAGTAGCGGACACAGCTGAAGTCCACCGGAGTCCACGACATGCTGTTGTATAGTGGTTATAGCGCGTACCAATGGACAAACCGGTAGATGGAGAGCTGGAATTGAGGCAGCACTCAGCCTTGTACTGGCAATCTAGTGAGAGCAGCGGTGGATCAGACGGCAGTCCTAGGAAACATGCGGTAAGCCACTAGCTGCCGCTGGGAGCTAGACCGTTAATCAGGATGAAGTCGCTTCTGAGAAGGGCTATTGTATAGCCAATCGCTACGCGACAAACGGCCCGCCTGCAAGGTATGCTCTGCGCCAGCTCGTCAAAATATGCTGCCATGCGTAGCGCTTCAGCGAGAATGCGGCCGCGTTTGACCGGCCAGGCGAGGCCCTGTACGGGCAACGTGTATGGACGAGGCCGCTCGGCAATTGGGCAGTTTGATGGATCTGTGAGACAAGGGCTTTGTGATACCCGGCCCATCCCTGCGTGTGCGTTCGTCACGAAAAACTCCCATCGCAGAGGCGATCGGATCGATCGCCAGGCTCAAAGTATACTGATAAGGGAAGATCTCGGGTCAAGGGTGTATGCAACTGCTGAACATCGCGACTGCCTAGGTGAAGACGGGCGATTCGCTAGCGGCTAGTGCATGACCATCGCTGGATTGGTCCACGCCCGCGGCCCGCAGCGTTCCGCTTGCTCGGCTCTCCCCCTCAACAGCTTTTCACCCTTTAGCCACACAGAACCCTTTCGCGACACGAATAGATTTGGACAGCATCTTGCGGCGTTGAGCTTAAACTTGAACTTTCCCGAAAGAGTTGGCGTGAACGACTGCACGGTGACGGCGTAATCGAACAAAGAACCTGGTCCCACCTGAGCAACGTTGGGGAAACCACTACAAACACCATTCGTCCAGAATAGACATGGAGTCAGGACAGAATCCACTCGGAACACTTTCGATTCTAGCAGTGGAATTGCGCGAGGCCATCTGGTCATATGCACTCACCGACACCACGATCGTGTACCATGCAATTACCGAAACGGTGCCAATCCCATTACTCGGCTGTTCCAAAGCGATTCGTGAGGAAGCCATATCCACAATACTCCGAGAGCGAAGCGTCACGTTCCAGACGCATGCTGCACTATCGGGCTTGCTCACGAATCACAAGAGCCAGCAAACAACAGACACGATCAAGGATGCGATAGCCCCACAGAGTCCAGCTAGATTGCCGAAGAAGATCAGGTTGAAACTGTTCTCCGAGAACCAGAAACTGTTCAAATGTACCGAGAGCAATTGGCTGGAGTATACAGAGGAGGAGCCGAAACTTGCAAGGGAACTTGATGGTTGGCGGGAAGCGCTGCTTCAATATCCCATTACACATCTCACGACAATAATCATGGACTGCAATTCTAGTCCCACATACCATGGCGGACCGGGTTATGCACTTCCGTGCATGAGTACGTTCGTAAAGCGTGTAGCGACGCGAATTCGCATGGTGTCAAAGGGAAGATGCCAAATTTTACTAGTCGCACCGCCAGGCACCGTGAAACAGCTTATCTGGCATGCTGGCTCAGCCTCCTTTCTGAGGAGCTGGACGCCAACCGACGACGGCTGGTCTGCAAGGAAGATTCAAGAAGCGCTCGATAAAACGGTCGTTGCTAATCCGTCCCCACCCACGCAAAGGAGCAGAAAGCGACGACGGACTACGGCAACGATTGAGTAATTTCTGTCAACATAGAGTAAACTTTTGTACATATTGTGAAAATCTTCACGTTCCTTATTTTGACTTATTACTCACATACGAAGTTACTGGCACCATTGCAGGCTTATGAAGTGCGGTAGTATGCATTACTCAGGGCAAAAAACATCGTCACGAGTTTCCCCCCGAAGTGACCTTCATGACCAACTTGCAAAGGCCCACCCGAAGCAAAAACAAAAAAAGAATGCATGAGATACTCTCCAGCGGGGAATTGAACCCCGGTCTCCCGCGAGTTGTCTATGAAGATGACAAGCGGAAATACTGACCACTATACTACTGAAGATTGAGCAACCGAGACGGTTGAGTAGGTGATTCGATGGAAAGCGTCGAAATTACAAAGAATATAGACCATATTGCGTGCACAGCGAAGCGAGCGCTGCGGCGCCGACTCGCTGCGTCAATAGGCAAAAGTTATGCGTGCTGCATGCCCAGGTGTGGGCGGCTAGCCAGCTCTGGAGGGGCTATTTTAGCTACGGCACATGGCATGCGAATAGACGAATGTTGCTTACATAAGCTTCTGCAATTCTCTATGATCCATTTATACTCTTTTCGACTTGGTATACTTGAATACAAAAGCTTGGCCCAAGACCATGGTACACACTAGTTGGCACTATGCTCAGAAGCAAACCCCGGCTTGAATCAAACTTGGCTGTATTATGTGTACGGACCAAGTGGGTTGTGTTCTGCCGCGCCCTGCTATCACTCTCCTTCTTGATTGAGACCTTCCACCAGGGCTCATCCTAAAAAGGCCATGTAAGCATACCTCACGTTGCATATACTGCCTCACTGGAGATATGTCATGTTTACGTATCTATACAGTAAGTCACAGTCAGTCTCCACAGGCATGGAACTGTGACTGTGTGTTGTGTTGAAAGTACACCCAGAAGGCTTTGTGCATGTAAGCGATCTGCCGTCACGAACATGCAACATGTGGATGAGACCAGGGAAATATCCATAGAACCACACCCATCACGAGGGCATTGTGCACACCAGGATTTGGTTTTCGAAGCATATTCATTTCTCGCCGAGTCGATTCGTCGTGAAGACTCTAGCTTTATTCGTTCATGCAACCCATGCTCATTTTCTTTCATGAGCTCCGAATCCCACAGAAGATGATGAACCGAATGAAGTAAAACTCCGAACCAATTCACATGCACCACGCTCTTCAGTATCTCATGATCTATGCCTCGGTGGCAGCGGCCTGAGCCTTGGCGCCCCTGGCCTTGGTGGGCTTGGACTCCTTGACGGGCTTCTGGCTCTTGCGGATGGCGGAGGCCTTAGCGACGGCGTCCTGGCGGAGGTCGGGGCGGTAGTTGCGCTTGGTGGTGGAGTTGACGATGGCGGAGTATGTCCTACGTTGGTCAGCGGGCAGCCCTTTGGTATGCGGTATCGGCGCAGTCGAGCGAGGACAGCCGTGGCTTGGAGAAGACGTACTTGCGGGTGGACCTGCTGGGGCCGAAGGTGGTGGTCTGGATGGCAGATGCGGGCTGGTGGTGCTTGTCGGCCTTCTTGATGAGAAGAGTGACACCACCCTCGGGGCCGGGGATAACACCGATAGCCTATTCCAACGTTGTCAATACCGTGTCTTGTGTTGGTTCGGACGTGCGCGCGGCGCATTCGTGGTTCGTGGTAATCGTACCTTGTTGGCAATGGAGCCCTCGTTCTGAGCAGAATTAGTCAACTGTCCCCAAGAATGCAACATCCACACATACCTTGCGGCTGTACACGTTCCTCAGGTTAAGAGGATCGCGCGAGAACTGGATACCGTTCGCCCTCTTGACGAGCGTGGAGCTGCGTCCCTCTGCCATATGTCAACCCCAGTCCCTCCCCAATGCGCGTCCCAGTCTTTCACTCACTGGTAACCTCCCAGGCAAGATCGTGCGAGATAGTGGTGGCCATTGTGTCTGTATGGAATGTGGATACGGACGATGTCGATTGCTTGACGTTGGGAAAGTTCGCCAATATTGAATCGAGGGCCCTCGTCTGCATTACCGCATGCGCTTAGTGCGTGTTTCGGGGATGGATCAACGTGCGTGCCGACGCCAAGAGCGGAGCGGAAGTGACGATGCATGAACGCGACGTGAGGCGGTGCAGCCGAGCGTTCTTGTCCGCGACTCCGTGGTTACAAACCATCGTTGTCTTGCATCAACCTCCCCTAATGCCTTGGCTTCAGAGGCCCTCATATACACACTACCGCTGAAGTTACTTCACATCCGTTTCTTTTGTATTCATCACCAACTCCTTTGTCGCGCCTAGCAGCTCCCTCCCGCACTCCCGAAGACCTCCGCTCTGTCGCATACGCTATAGACCTCTCGTGCAGCCTCGGAAGCAACCTTCATCATGGCCTACATCCTCTACTCCGTCTCGCTCTTCGTTCTGGTGATTGCGACAGGTATGTTGCCATAGTGAACACCTCCTGCGCCACACTAACACTGCGCAGCTGCCTATTTCACCCGGCACCGCTGGATACACCTTCTGCCTATCCCCGGACCCATCTACACGCGCCTCCCATCCTCGTTTCGCGACGACATCGAAGCCGGCCTTTCGTCCTCAGCGTTTGACCTGAGTGGGAACGTGGAAGCCGGCGACTCGCGCCAAGGCTTGGACGACGCGGGGAAGAAGGAGGTTATGCGCATTATGAAGAGACGCGGCTGCGACTTCGACGAGGCACGCAGAATATACATGCAGGAGAGGTTCAAGAAGAACAACATTGGAGCAGATGGGATACCCCGCGACCCCAAGTTTGTCAGCTTCTCATAATTGCAACGACTGGGTTCAATGGCGGTTTTCATTCACAGGGCTCTTTCGTAATTCTTTCTTTTGTATGGGGTTTGGACACATTACTACATTTCCTTTGTTGCCTTCAGTGGCCTATCTCTGTCTGACATGCTCTTGGCGGGTATCTTTCTGCGAGTACGGATCTGGACGCCAGATGTCCTGCGTCTTCTGTTGTTCCGAGTTCTGCGTCTTTCTCTCTCTGACCTTTCAGCGCCTTTTCGAATACACTTTTGATGTTTTCCCCTAATCGACTCGAAGCCTGGTGAACATCATGCCTCCCAATCGTGACGCCATCGTCTCATGCTGCTTCATGTCGATCGAAGGCCATGACTTCCGCGATTTCTGCGGACGGCTATTATACCGACAGGCCTGATCCCCTGGCTCGCTGAAGTACTGGTTCTAGCATCTTGGAGACTGCTCAAGCTACAACGCCCATATTCAACGTGATTGTCATTGATCCCTTCGCGTCTCTTCTCTCTACCTCGGTGCCTGAGCATAGCCCTCCCGGGGAGGCCCTCCAAAACCTGGGGGACCGCCGAAGGCTGGCGGTGGGCCGTTGAAGCCGGGCGGAGGAGGGAAGAAGTTCGTCGGAGCGCCGCTTGGTGGGCGAGCAGGCAAGCCAGATGGGGGTGGTGGAAGACCTGGATGGCCGACCGGAGCTGCGGAAGGAGGTCGGCCATAGCCTCCAGGGCCGTTGGGAGCGTAACCAGGAGGTCCGCCGGGAGGTCCGCCAGGGGGTCCATATCCTGCTCCAGGTCCGCTTGGTGCGCCGGGCATGCCACGTCCATCCATGCCCATGGCTGGTCCACTCGGTGCAGCACCTGGTGGAAGTTGGAAAAGATGTGCCGGCAGAGGTTGCACAGCCGGCGCAACTCCGTGGGCCTTGGCCTGTTTCGCGAGCATACGCTCCGCTTCGTCTCCGTGCCGCTCGCCCTTTCCATCTTTCTTGTATGCGTATTGAACCGTGATCTGCTTGCTCATGATGTACTGGTTGTGCATGCTCGCGATTGCCGCATCCGAGGATTCGAAGTCGCCGTACGAGATGAAACCGTATCCCTTGGATGCTTGCGTGATGTCGTCGCGCGCGACCTTTGGCGCATTCACCAACGGTCCGAAACGGCCAAATGTATCGTACAGTGTCTTTTCATCCACTCCAGGATCAAGGTTACCAATGAACAGCTCTGCGCCAATCTCAACATTCTTCTGCTTATCTGCGGACGCCTTGTTAACACGTATCCGACTTCCGTATAGCGCAACGTTGTTCATGATCTTGGGCGCGTAATCTGCCTCTGCTTCCGTGTGGAACTCGACGAAACCGAACCCTTGATGTTGGCCGTTGACGCGATCGACGGGCATGTTGACATTTCGTACTCGGCCGGCGTTGAGCATCAGCTCGTGAAGGATGCGGGGCGTGATGCGCTCATGGAGGTTTCCGACGTAGACTGTGGCTTCTTTATTCTGTTCCCTGCGCATTCGTGAGTTCATGTTCGCTACTTATTCGCTACTCGGAATGCTGCAACTTACCAGTGACGCGCACTCGGGGCCGACATGTTGAAAGGGCTGCTGTCTATAGGCTCGAAACGCTGGTTCCTGGGTCGCAATAGAAATCCGGACGATTTCGTTGGGGTCGTGAGGCGTCGTGAATGGGAACTGGTGTTCAGGAACGAAGTGAAGGCATCTCGAAGATATTGGAGCTCCAGTCTGAGCTTGCGCTAACACACATGCGGCTAATCCCAAAACTTTGAGCTTTACGCATCATCGCAACTTCGTTCGCTGGGCCCGCCTTCACCCATTACCGCATACAACTCGACCACCTCAACCCAGGCCGACTACATACTCAACATGTACCAGCTGTCAGAAGAGTCCAAGGTACGTCAATACGCCAAGTACATGTGAATCGGGCTTCCGTTGACTCCATACAGGAGCGCATCGCGCGCATCATCGATGTCTCCCGCGTCGCTATTCACTACGGCTACCTGCCTTTGATCCTATACCTCGGATACTCCCGAAGCGAGCCTAAGCCTTCCCTCATCCGGTGAGTACACCGCCTATTTCCGCCATTCCTATACCAGCACGACGTCGCTCTTCACAATGGGGAAGAACTTCGCCGGCTGTGGGATTCAGCCTGGCGACTTCCGAAGCCTGGAAGCAGACTATGAGCAAGAGACTGTGATCTTGTTCCTACAAGATTACACCAAAGCCATAACGGGCCAGCCTAGCAGTGTCAGTGGAAGACCAAGGCATCTACGGGGATTACGGTCTTTCTGCTCTTTCAGTCGCTCGCTTCTGTTCTGAACCTCTTCCTCAAAATATCGCTCCATCATGGCCGATGTACTTTTGGGAACTTAGCTGACCCTTCTAGTCTTTTCTCTCCCCTCGCATAAGCACCAAACGACGATATGACAACAACGATTTGCGATTCATTGTACAATACTACACACTCTAGGCGCATGGATTCTCGGGTATGATTTGGACCGTGATGGTCGGGAAGATGGGCTATACAAGTACCATGTGTTCGAAAATTCCTCTACTCTATCACGTCGCACGGAAGTCGGCAAAACGTATCCCACAGGAGGCGGGATTTGTACATGTATACCAAAGTCTTAACACGAATTGACGGTACCCTGCAGGACGGCCGGTGCCATGGCTGCCCGGTCCGAGTGGTAGCCCGCTTTTTGCACCAAACACATTCGTCTTGCGCATGCGTGTCACAATTGCTGGAACTTGCGGAGTCTAAGCTTGCGCGCACGTCGGTCCTCATTGAGCCCAGCGCCGGTTGGCAGGTATTGACAGCTACGCGGGGCAAATGCCGGTTGTGCGGTTGACGCCAATGGCGAGACGCTACCTGACCCACGTGGTATCCCGGTCGAGCATCGCGACCCATGCTCCTCCATTCTCAACCTCTGCGAACTGGAACACCCGGCCACCAGTCCCCACAGTACACGCGGGCACTCGTTATGGAGTCTTATATCCCAGGCGCACGGCGCTGGGCCTGCTCTAGTTTGTGCTGCGAATCTTCATCGCATAGCCCCCACGCCTCCCGTGTCCACAGTATATCGAGAGCTCCCCCGGATGTTCTCTACCTATTCTCTAGACCTTATGGACACTCCGAATTGCTATCCCCATTCCCATCCGTGCGCTGTCTTACTACCTGGCTGATTGCTCAACTTCGTGCATGACCCGTCATCGTCCGCCACCATGACCGTCCCCAACATTGGGGACATCTTGGTGCTGTCGCAGAAGGCTTGGAAGATTGGACGCACCTTTTCTGCTTGCCAAAAGAATGCGCCAGTGGAGCTTCAATATGTTGAGACGGAAATCGGCAGCCTCGCAAAATCATTGGCATCGTTGGCAGAGACGCTGCACGCGGAGTCCGTGCGGCAGTTGTTACAGGACGCTGACCAGGAAATAAAATATGGCGTTGGTACCATCCTAAGGTCTTGTCAACGGACAGTAGATGATCTTGACTCGCTGATCGACCAATACCAAGTCATCAAGAAGCACCGCACAGTTGGAGGGTTCGCAATTGAGCGCTCGTGGAGCGATCTGGTATTAGCCTCATACAGGACGATGATCTGGACTCCCGAAGGCGGAAACCTCGCAGATCTGAAAGAGATGTTACAGACACATACGAACTCTATCGATGAGTTGACGGAAGCATTGCAAAGGCTAGTGCTGCCAAATCCATGTCACACATCTACTGACCATGGTGCAGCAAGTCTATGGCTCGTATGGACAGCACCGTCATACCAATCGCAGAGCGAATCGATAACATGCACCACTTGGCTGGAAGCATCGATCAGCAGCTTGACGAAGTACATCGTATGGTAGAGGACCTAATGATTGCACCACACACTTCACATGTGCCACCCGTACCAGCAAAGAACCCTGCGCGTTCACCGACCACCGAAAACGCCGACCCATTGAGCCAAACGTATCATGCTTTATCTCCCCCAGAATCTTCACTCAGGTCACAAAATGTCAAAATATCTCTACCACGGATCCCGCAGCGCCCAGAGTCCCACGAACAGTCCTCTATAGTCAGATTCAACGATGATGCTCCTGTTCCGACATCTCCGGCGGATGTCGTATCCGCCTCAAGAACATCATCACCCGCTCAAAAACGTGTGTCGGGATTTAGCTTTGGCGGCTCATCTTTGCGATACTCCAGCAGTAGCTATGCATCGTCTGACGCTGGTACAAGCTCAGTCGGTTGGCAAAGTCCATCTTCGTTACTGCCTGACTCCCATCTGAGCCGACAATATTCGACATCGACCAAGAATATATCACCTCTTCCAAGAACACCGGAAGTATGCGAGCCGGGCCGAAAGGCTGACAATCGGCATCATACGCTACTCCCACCTCCGGCTATGAAGCTCGGCTCACTTTATGAACTCGAAAGAACACCTACTCAGACATCGCATGCCATGTTAAGCCCTTACCCTTCGTTGCAACCAGAGATCATGAAACTTCACCGAAGTTCAACCACTACCAGTCAAAAAGCCGCCTTCGAGAAAGAAGCCTTTCGAAACTCCGCCATTCTATGTGATGTGTAAGCCGACTTTACCCTTAGTCCGTTCTTCTCAGTGTACGTGTTTAGCAATGCTAACTACAGAAAGTCGCGGTTCGCTCGTCGAATACTCGCACCGGATAAACCAGGACGACCCCAGAGACGTCGAAATGATCCAGGCTTCTGAAGAGTGCAGAATCGCCGTAGTACGGAAACGCGTAACCGACTCTGAGACGAAGGCAGTGCGCGTCGTGACATCCGTATGGGCGTTTAGCGACGACAACACCACCCGCGTGGAGCTACGTATGGAAGACGACCAGATGTACATACCGTACTCCAGCTACTTCAACCCAGCCAAAGCCTCCATCACAGTCCTCTGCGAGCTCATATTTCACGATGTCAAACACGGCAATCGGCCAGTGCGTGTAGAAAAGACTAGCTGGGTCAACTACGTCTTTGACTCACCACAAGGTAGACTACCGAAACAGCATCTAAGGAAGAAGACGATGACTAACTGCATACCCAGCGGCCGCACTCTTCCAAAACGAACTAATGGGCCGCATCCTCCTTGCGACATTCCGCACAGAGAAAACAATGCGCATCCACGAAGGCCTCTCCAAATCCTTCTCCTACGCCGAGCAAATGTGCGGCCTGGAGAACCTCCGCGTCTGGGAAGACAACGACACAGGCGCCATCATCGCCCTAATCCATTTCTCCGCCGACTTCCGAAATGGCTACCTAGCCTTCTACCTCAACTCCTCCGTCAACCCTATCAAAGTGAAAGACGGTGGGGACAGAGAGGTCAAGATCAAAGGGCTGAGAGTGCCGATTGATCGGGGCGATCGCGCGATGAGGAAGGACAGTTTTGCAGAAGCTGCCACTGCTTCTGTTACAGGGAAAGGCAAGGAGAAAGTGGGGGCTGGGAAGAGTGTGGACAAGGGGAAGGTTATCAGCGGGGCGAAGATAGAGTTTGCGACGGAGATGGAGAAGAGGGAGTTTTTGGAGATGTGTAGCGAGATGCAGAGGGAGTTGATTGAGTTGCCGGATTTGTTGGGGGTTAATTGAGAAGATAACTAGGTGGGAGGGGAATGGTTGGATGTAGGCATCGATTGATTGTACTACACTTTTTATGGATCGCAAGAGCGTTTCTTTGGACATACAATCCTTTTGAGGTCTGGAAAATCCTTCATAAGCATACGCATCAGTTATCCTAATATTCGTATAGTCCCTCAGAGTTTCCATTCGCCTTCGGCCCAGAATCTGTTGTAGTCCTCCTCACACCACTCATCCCAGCGTAAACGGCCTAATGCGAGAACGGGCTTATGCTCACGCCAACGGCCAGACTCAGCCTCGACAATTGTTTCACCTACGCGGACCGATACACTGGTATCTGTTCCTGCAGAGATCAGGGTGTGGATCCTTACACGAATCTCGAATGTGGGATTACATGAGCCCAAAGCTCTACCAAAATCCCTCACCGCTTCAACTGTATTCTCAACGCCTGCGGTTTCAGTTCCCTGCGTAACGGCAACGTGAAAAGTGCGAGACGGATGGGCTCGATAAAACTCTCCGAATTTGCTCGAAAAGTTGTAGTCATTTAACGACCGGCTGCTGCGGCGGAGGTGGAGCATGTACCCAGCCTTTCGGATGAAGTAGAGTAGACGAAAGACTCCCTCTTCGAACGTGCCATCCTCCATGAAATATCCATAGTCTTTGAGAAGAGAGGACATGTCGAAGCCTCGGTAAGCCAAGAAGGTATCGCAGTTGGTTTTCCAGGGTGTTTGATAGCAAAAGCACCAGTCCAGGGCTGCCTTGATGATTCCCTTCGGCGCACCAAGAATAGGCAGAGCGGAGATTTCGGTTTCGATCTTGGGCGCAGTGCCAGCGACAAAAGGAGGCTGCTCGATCACTCCTCCAGGTAGAAGCTGCTGTGTGGTCTTACGGATGACAGCTGCAGCTTCGTTGTGGACTGTCTTACATGTAGTAAGAATGGCAGTCGGCGGTTCATGATTAATGAGGGTGAAGCTGCTCTCAGTTGTTCCGTCGCTGCTGCGCTTCACATATCGAGTACGAGTGGTACGGTTCGGCAGGAGCTCATACACCATCAGTCGCAATTCAGCAGGCAAGTCGAGGAACCCCAGGGGACGGGATTGCGCGTTCGTCATGCTTGATCGTGGAGCTTCAAAGTCCTGGATTAGCTTCAAAGCACAGTGAATTTTCTGTAGACTTCACCTTGTGGTTTCGTTACAGCGTAGCGAAGTGAGTCTCTCTGGGGCGCAAGGTGCTTGTATCCACCACGGGTAGTAGTGGTTGTGGCCACCGAGCTGACGCTTAACAATCTGGGCTCGATCGCGATCCCATTGACTCGTAGTGGGGGAGTAGGATGGAGAGTATTTGGTAGGAGAAGAGCAACTGCTCGTAGCCAGATTGGGGAGCACAGACTGACGCTAACCCCACTCGCGGAAGGCTAGGCAGCGACGCGCAAGGAACTCGAGGTCAAGGTAAGTGTGGACATCAAACCACAAGTTGTGCGCGGCAGTAGAACAAGAAAGGTATTAAGAGATCAAGCGCTAATTTGATAGAGCGATGAAGATACAACTACTATCAGACACGTTCTACTTTTCCAGAACAAATCAAAGCTGGACGCTCTTGCCGTCTTATCTTCGCCTTTACCTTCACTCTGCCTCTAACTCCGCCCACACCTACACACCGACGCAAAAAGAGACCGAAACAACGCCACCCCATCGTTCTATCCCAGCCTCGAACTAACACCTCTACCTAGATCTCAATCCAATCAATGTCTTTGGATTCAGTCTCTTCCTTTTCTCACTTCTTGGAATTTCACTTTCCGGATCGTTTACACAGCCCTCAGACATAATAAGTTATAAGTCTGCGACTCTTCTCTGCTGTAACCACACCGCAATGCTATCGAGCAGAAACACTAGATCAAAAGGCAGACACCTCACTTCTTTCTCGGTTCGTGCTTAGTAAAGACATTGCTTCTCTTATCTATGTTATCTCTCTAGTTATAACATCTTGTTAGCGTATCCTAGACTAGTATACCGCATCGCATTCTCTAACTAAAATAATACTACAGGCCTTAGCTGCGTAAATACAGTAATGCAATTGTAGTACAGAATAGATGTCTTTAAAACGCAGTTGTAGTCTTAGAATGCAGCTTAGCTTGCCTTGTCTTGCTGCAATGTAAAGAAACACATGTTCAAAAAAGAACATTAGTACACGGGATCGAACAGGCGCGAAAGTTGGGAAGCAAAAATACATGGAGCTCGATGTGTTGCGTACGACTCAGCCATCCTTCCGGTGGAACATTGTCAAAGCCTGCAAACTGACGATGGAGTTTTACAGAATTTCAACCTACATGTATTGCCATCCGCTATATACACGGCTTTGCTGTCCACGTTCACCTGGCAACGCTTTACGATAGGCGCACCCGAGCGTTTGCTCTCACTCACTCCCGCACCTCTACACCGAGCCCCACTATGTTTATATATCTTGGCGCCTGCCTTGATAATTCTGACTATCTCGCTTTTGCCTTGCCTCTTCACTGACCCTGCGAAGGAACTGCGCGCACTGCCGATACTAACAATGGCGACTTCACTGCCCACCGAAGCCCGCGGGACCAAGCGCAAAGGCGAAGACGTCGATAACGAGGATATTATCAGTCCAGAGGCGCAGAAGATCAAGACGTTTATTCGTGGCGGATTCCACAAGGTCCTAGCCAAACTTGGATACCACAGAGAGATCAGCAAGTCAGACTTGCGTTCGGATCACGAAATCACCAACTCGTATGTGTTTCTCATTCTGTTCACGATCGAAAACTAACTTGCATAGCTGCCTGGCCGACTTGGCCAAGTCCTTGCCACAGAAATTTCCCATCGCTGGTCCTGGCAGAAGCCTATGGAAGTGCCATGCGCAGGTCGCCGCCACCTACTCACCCATCATGCGGGGTCTGATTGAGAAGCATGTAAGTGTTTGAGTTCATCTGGTTTAGGGGTCCACGCACGACTTCAAGTGGATTGATTCTAACGTGTGAAAATAGAAGCAGATCTTTGTTATGGAAGACTGGCCTGCGTACGCTATCGATGCCATGGTGGACTTCTTTCGTCATCACAAGGCTTACCGCATCATCGCTCCTCTCGACCGCCACAAGCTCATGTACTTGGACCCTACATCCGACGCTTCCGTTGAAGCTATTCCTTCCGATGTGTGCCTCGCTCACGTTCACCTCGATATCTTCAAGCTAGCATATGACTGGAATATCAAACATCTCCAGGAATTCGCTCACAATGCATTGGTCAAGGCATTGGCGGGTCAGCCTACGCTGGCTCAGTTCAAGCACATGCTTGTTAGCACTGGCATATTTACAGAAAAGTATTGCACGCCTCCTGCTTCCGAGGATCATTTTCTGAACCTGGTGTTGATGGCTTTGGGTACTTATGGTGCTATGGTTCACGATGCCTGGATGAGGGAAGAGAACCGTCAAGAATATGTCAACCTCTACATTGTAGCACCTTATTTCGCCGTCTATCGCGATCTGGCGACACCAGGACATAGCGTCCATTTTGCTGAGTGGTCAAAGGAGGTAAACGCGAAGCGGCAGAAGATCGAGGGTTCCGGTTCCATGCAATTGTCATAGCATACAGCAGCCCCACCCTTCACCCTCAACACCTCAAACATCCCCAGCAGCCAACTTCATGATTACGACTAATTTCAATAATTCTTCAGCTATCTGCGTGGTATCAACGTCAAACATGCAACAAGTCGGGCGCCTTACTCCAAAGAGCCTAACCAATCCATTCAATTCCAATTCATCCATATCCTCCATCCTAGCCGTGTATACCACCTCAATAACCAACTCAACAGCGGGACTCATGACTCCAAAACCAGCCACTGACTATGCAAAAGAACTATAAGAAAAAGAATCTACCAAACGATACACCGCTGAGCGATCCTCAATATCCAATCCATGCTATTATCCTATCCAAACTCTTGTGTTGGTTCCCAGACGGCTGGCTATACAAACGCCGGGGTAAGAAGAACCCTATGCTCGAGATCGGTCGTGTTCTACTCGCCGTTGACCTCCGGCTCGGGAGCGGTGCCGTTGGCGCGGTCGGCGCCCATGTACCGCTGCATGTATGTGATGTAGTCGAATTTGGGTATGTCGCGGTCTTCTGCCATATCTGGGCCTTTGTGCTCGGGCATGGTGGAGAGGAGGTCGTCGATGACTTCGTCGGGGACGAGGGAGTGGCGGAGGTCGAGTTCGGTCACGTATGGCTGGTGAAATGTTAGTAGCTGGTGATACATGGAGAAATGAGGGAAAGAGGTGGGTATAGACTGACCTTGCCGTCGGCGACCTCTTTGAAAGACTCAAAGACTTGCTCCGCGGTATTTTGATCCTCGGTTTCGTCCACCATGAATCGGATAAACTGCTCGAATGTAACATAGTCTTTGCCACCACTAGTTTCGCGGAATCTCTCGTGCATTTCTTCTTCGTCGTATACCAAGCCCAAACTAGCCAATGCGGCAGAGAACTCCAATTCTGCTAACGAATTCGATACATCGCGGTCAAAATGCCTGAATACTGATTCAAACTCTTCAAGCTGTATTGGGGTGAGGTTGGTCATGTTACGTGCCACCATCTGGTTCTCTAAAAAGGCAAGCTTCTTCGATACTGAACTGCGGACCAAGCCCAGCTCGTATTCTAGCTCGTCGTATGTGTATGTTGTGAAGTCGTTCTCCTCGATGTTCGCTTCGGCGCATTGCTCGTCGATGGATGCTATGAGGTTCAGGTATTCGTCCAGGGGTGCAAGCGACTTGCTGATCTCCTTTGTGTGCTCTAGCTGGTCCTCAACATCGCCTTCCAACGCTGATATCGATGTAGAGAGTGTGTTGAGGGCCAGGGCAAAGTCGTTTGCTTTGTCTGCGAAGGATTTCCGCAGAGCGTTCTTGATGTCTCTGATTGTCTCGTTGATGACCTGGGAGCGTTGTCTCTCGGCCTTCATCAACCCCGTCCAGGCAGTGTCCAGTGCTTCGAGGCTGAGCTCCGCGGGCGGATCGTACGGTCGCAACCGGTATGTGGCCAACTTCGTCCTTATATTCCCTAGTAGTCCCACGAGGTCTGACTTCTCGGCTACCCATGTTCGCTTGCTCTTGCGCTTCCAGGCGGTGAACTCGGTCGACTGGTTCCTAGCGTCTGCGTATGTTCCGTCGAACTTGGCCTCCTCCCATTGTGTGCGCTGCTTGGCGATCTGGTCCAGCAGCTCGCGCATGCGTCGCTCGAAGTCGTTCTGCATCTGCCAGGCTCCCTGCATATTCGCGACGAATTTCTCGACTCGCCGCCCAGCATTCTCCACGCGCTCCATCTGCGAGAAGGCGTGGAACCAGTAGGCAATGTATGTCATGAGTGAACGCTCGTCGGGCTTCGCGACGTCGCACACGTCCTCCACATCCAGCAGGTCGGGGATACCAATCTCTTTGGAGGCGATGTCGAATGCAAGCTGCATGTTGCCGCGGTGGTCGCTCTTGTCTAGGCTGTCGTAATCGATGAGATCGGGACGGTGGATGTCGAGCAGGGCGCAGCTGTCTGTTGTTAGCCCAGTCTCCCACCAAAGAGTGCTCCACCTACAATGCCAGTCCGTCGTTCCAGCTCGTAGAGAAGTCACGGACTTCGACCTCATCGTAGCAGGCCGTCTTCCGCTGACACCACAGCAGCAGACCCTCCTTGGCACTGAGACCCTCTTCGTTGATGTCGCTGATGGTGAAGCGCAGAATGAGGGTCCATATCAGACCCAGGATGATCTTGCTGTTGCCGTCGACGACATCTTCGGCACCGGTATTGGTAAGCTGGATCCTCCGACTCCGGATGAAGTCGAGCGACTTGTTGACGTTCTCAAACTTCTGCACGCGCAGCTTGGGCCGGGAGGCATAGCGGCCGAGGGATTCGTTGCTGAGGATCTCGAGGAGGTGTATGAGTATGATCTAGGGGGCGTTAGGACGTGATGCGGGGAGAGGCCATGTTGGGGGCCAAGCGGGGCACGTACACCGTCCGAGAGGTCGATGATGAGGTCCTTGATCTCGACTTCGCGGATCTTGAGCTTGCTGTTCAGCCTGCAGCGGTGTGAGTAGTAGTGTCGGGGCCGGGGCGGCGGCGGGGGTTGCAGCGTACCACTTGGTGAATGTCTTCTGCTGGACCTTGACCCATTGCTGTTCAAGCGGCGCCATGATCAGTGTGCATCAGGCCTCTCACTCGGACTGGGCGCATGCAGGTAGGAATATATTTGGGTGGATACGGGATGCTAGCTGGCGACTACTCGGGCGTGTTTTCCAGAGTCCTGGCCCAAAACAATGAATGGCTGACTGCGGGCGCGGCTTCGGCTGTCGCTGCACCCCTGTCCCAGTAGCGGGGCCCCTGGATCCACACAGCCTTGGGCGCCCGAGTCGCCTCTGGTTGGCTGGCTGCGACGACACGCGATATCTGGTCTATACTGGCAAAGAGTTGCAGGGCCCTTAGCCCCTATTAGATTATATTTATTCTATTATATGCTAATATAACTCTATAGTAATTACTAGCAGTTTAGTCTATTCTTAATAATTCTGTACTAGTGTAGCTAAAATAGAGTATTAGCTATATCTTTCTACTAAGTGTACTTATTCTTATCTTATTAGGTAGCGTTGCCTATAAAGTAGCTAAGTATAAGGTTTTAGTAAGTAGTATATATCTTATATTAAGCGTGTACGCAAAAGAATAGGTAATAGAGATTTATAAAAGTATAGTTTAGTTCTATAAGCCTATTAGATAATAGGTAAGTATAGACTTTATAGGCTAAGTAGATATAGCTTTTATTTATTAGTAAATTTAGGTAGAAGAAGAATATACTTACTATCTTATATATATAATTATTAAGTAGTTAGTCTAGATTTTTCTTTTTAGCTAAAAAGGCTTTAGCAACGTAGGCGTAGACTAATTTAAATATAGTAGTAGCTTAGCTTATAGTAGTATATTTAATGTAGAAGAAGAAGTTAGAGGTAGCTAGTAATTAAGTCTTTTTATATATAAGTAGATATAGCTAGGTGTTTAGAGATAAGATTTGCTAAGATATATTCTTACTAATAGGCATCTACCTATGTAACTACTATAATCTAGATAAGACTAAGCCTCGGCCAACAGTCTCTTCGTCCAATGCTTGCTGAGACAGAGAGACAATGCCCAAGATACCCTTGGAGTAGCGCGTGTATCTAGCCATCTATCTACTCGCATTCACTTGCCTCGTGGCTGCACCGCGCCGGGTATAGCAGGCGCCACACACGCCATATTGGTCCTCCATCGCTCTTGCCTGCATCATGGCTGTAGACGCGTCTCAAGATGCCGCGTCGCTGCCATATCACGAGCCGGGCATCGTTGTCATTCTCGTGCTCACGTCTTTCCTCCTCCTCCTTAACGTCGTCAATGCTGCTCTCGACAGGGTGCTGTACTGCGGTCTGCTGGGCCAGGTTTTGGTTGGCATTGCATGGGGCACGCCAGGTGCGAAGTGGCTATCCGAGAGCTTAGAAGAGACGGTCGTGCAACTAGGCTATCTGGGGTTGATACTGCTTGTCTATGAAGGTCTGCATGCGCTGCATCGCCCAACCCAACCCATATCTGTGGCATTGACTAACGCTCGCCAGGCGGGCTTTCTACTTCGTTCCAATCACTGAAGGCAAATCTGCTTCTATCTTCTGGCGTCGCACTCACGGGAATTCTAGTTCCTATCGGGCTCTCGTACACTCTGCAAGGCTTACTGGATGCTAGCCCAGTACAAGCTTTCGCCGCTGGCGCTGCTCTATGCTCCACCAGCCTGGGCACAACCTTCACGGTTCTCGGGTCGAGTGGCTTGGCTACCACCCGCCTAGGCGTTGTTCTCACAAGCGCCGCTATGATGGACGACGTCGTGGGACTAGTCATGGTGCAAGTCATCTCCAACTTAGGTGGCGACCACTTCAGCTGGGTAACAGTCGTTCGCCCAGTCTTCGTTTCGATTGCTTTTGCGATTATCGCACCTCTTGTCTGTCTCTTCGTCGCGAAGCCTTCGACCGCATGGCTGAACGCGTACCGCGAAGCTCACCCGGGCGCACATCTGAGTGCCTTGCTACAGCGAACACAAACAGCCTTCGTGATCCACACGCTGGTTCTCATTGCTCTTGTCGCGGGAGCTACATATGCGGGCACATCAAATCTGTTCGCTGCGTATATCGCGGGAGCTAGCATTAGTTGGTGGGACTCTGACGTGCCCCATCCTACAAGCTTTCCAGCTACAAATGCAGTAGATGAGAAAAGACAGGCAACTGTCGGTCCAATGCTTGAGAGCTCAGAAGGCTCGTCTCCCGATGCGTCAAAGACCACAGCAGACCAAAATCAAGGAGCAGTTCCGTCTCGACCCACCGACATGGAGAGTGAAGAGCATGTGGTTGCGACCGGTGGTGCAGCCATCTACGAGCAGTACTACCATCCCGCAGTGTCGAAGATCCTACAACCGTTCTTCTTCGCATCCATCGGATTCTCGATACCCATCACACGTATGTTCAGGGGCGCGATAGTCTGGCGAGGCATCGTCTACGCTGTTCTCATGACCTTCGCAAAGCTTGTGTGTGGTTTCTGGCTCGTTCGGTTTTCTATATCCCCAGGCAAAAAAGCGCCCCGCAGAATTCTGTCCAAGGTGCGCCTGCCTTCGGTGCCTCACCTGTGGGGAAAGAGCGGCGGCGCACCTCCCGCGCAAGAAGGAATCACTACAACGCAGGCAAGAGCTACCCCATCGCGAAGCCGCCCGACAACTTCACCAAGTAGTACCGAAAGCGAGGCCCGATCTTCGCCCAATCCACCAAAGCCCTTTTCGCTGCACCCGCCACTGATCCTCGCCTTTGCAATGTGCGCTCGTGGAGAGATTGGCTTCCTAATTTCCGGTGTCGCCGAGTCCCAGGGCGTCTTTGGAGAGACTTCAGGCGAGCCAACCGACATATTTCTTGTCGTGACTTGGGCCATCGTTCTGTGCACTATCCTGGGTCCTCTGGCTGTTGGACTATCCGTTCGCAGGGTAAAAGCACTCCAAGCGCGCAAGAACAAGGAACAGGAGGGCGCGGGCAGGGACGTTTTGGGCGTTTGGGGTGTAGAATAGACTAATCTCCGGAGTAAACCAAAGCTATCGAAATGCGGTCGCTACATGCCCGGGCAGGTTCAGTGCGCTCGACTTTTGCTGCAAACTGTTCACTTTGTGCACATGTGCCCCTGTTGTCATGACGTGCATCGCCGGGTGTCGCGACAGGGATAGCGGCTGTAATGGTGGGGTCGGAGGCGGGCATCATCCAACAGACGGTTGAAACATGCTGATTTGTACTCGGTGTATCGAGCGCCGTGGGACGTGAAACAATAGGACATGATGTATAGTGGTTGCCGTCGCGATACCTTCCCATATATACGGGGGACCTTGTGCGCAGCTGCAATGGATGCATAGTGCGAACTGAAAAAAATGCAGACGAACGTCAATGACATTTGACACAACGTGAAATCCCATAGTTTGGTAGAGTACCCTTCTTTTGCACAAGCAGGCAAGCAGCCACCGACGTCGCGAGCGGCACGGTTTCTAAATATGCACCGGTGGAGGCTGTGGAAGGTTTTGGCGGCCAGCCAGAAGGGTTTCAGACGTCAATTTGCCTTCTTCTGAAACGCTGAACAAGATGGTGTACTTGCAACCGCCGGGCGATCAAGCCGGACCCTTTGCCGTTGTCGCGCCTGTCTGCTGATGAAACGTCTGTAGTAGACTCATGCCGCTGGTAGTCATCCGCTTCGCGAGTGGCAACAGCCAATGAGTGCACATCGCGTTCCTTTCAGGCTCGACGTCCGAAGAGGAGTCGAGCGCACGTGAGAGAAAGTTCCGTGCCGGATGCTAGCGCGCCAGTGCCCAAAGCCAATGGTGCCAGGAGAAAGGGTTCCACTCCAGGCCCTACCACGACTGCGTGCACCAGACACGACTGCGCTCTTGCCCGCAGCCTGCCAGCTTCTCCTATTTACCCTGCGTGTGCAGTTTTCGAATGTGGCATCCTCGCTGAAGACGACTCGGCGCGACGCTTTGCGATTTGGATTGGCAGCAGCGCCCGCTCGCTTTCAGGATCAGGACTGGTATCCCGCTCTGCTGCAGCCCGACCCTCGCATTGCTGCTTACTCGACGCGACCCCCATCTCCGGACGCTGCGTCCTCGACACCACCCCAGCGCCCTCTGTCTCAGTGAGAGTTGACCCAGACCTCGCTCAACATCGCCCCGCCACTTACCTGCTCACTCCATTGAGCACGGGTCCCCCGCTATTCACCACACTCACCCCTCGACTGCCTGGCCGCACCAGAGGCAGTGAACGACTCACGAAGCTATTGTAGCTATTGTATAATTCGACTGTTGTTGCTACAACGATAGTCTGCCCATGTGAGTCCCCTGGCGCTCCTTCCTCAGCTGTCGTCTGGCTGCTCCAAACACCGCTTTTCAACCCCAAACGGCAGCAGCGTCACCTGCCCCGTTTCAATCAGACTGCCACTCGCGAGACCGGCCGCTGACCACATTGCTCCAGCATGTATCCCAATGGACATTTCGAGAACACCCGTGCAGCACCAAAACCACCCATCCAAGCACCGCAATCATCCACCAGGACCAACCTCTTCCCCGACACCAACCCCAACATGCCGGGCAACATGGTCGGCCGGAGTATGCAGTCGCCTGGTTTCAACAACGGCTCGCAAATGTCGCTTGTACGCACACAGTCCGAGAGAAGCGTCTCGACAACGGCCACAGTCAAAGAGGGCATGGTCAAGGTCAAGGATGCAAACGTGTTCAGAAGTATGATTTGGGCTGAGCGGTGGCTGGTACTGCGCGAATTCGAGCTGAACTTTTTCAAGAGCCCTAATGCCTCCAAAGCATCAACCACGATTCAACTGCGAGACATCCTCGGCGTGGAGCGATCAGACACGCAGCCTTTGTCCTTTGAAATCACCAAGGCTGCCAACACCAGCAAGGGCTCGTCCCCGCCCCGCGATGGCCCTACAAAGATCATTACATGCAAGGTCGAGACTGACGATGACGTCTACTCGTGGATCGACAGCATCTACCAGCGCTGTCCCAGCATGGGCGGTGTCAGCAACCCTACCAACTTCACCCACAGAGTTCACGTAGGCTTCGACCCTAACAGCGGAGCGTTCGTCGGTCTGCCGGTAGAATGGGAGAAGCTTCTCACTGCATCCGCTCTGACTAAGGACGACTACGCGAAAAACCCCAAGGCTGTTCTGGAAGTTTTAGAGTTCTACACCGAAAAGCTTGTCAAGCGCTCCGAGGACCCTCAGCAATACCCGAGTCTCACTCCGACCCCGCCAACAAATGCTGGAATGGAGAAACAGCTTGGATACGGTGGCAGCGGCAATTCTGTTGCGCCTCCGCGCCCTGCACCGCCTGGCAATTATCAGCGAAAAGACAGCTACAGTCAAGGCTATGGCGGTCAACAAAACTCGGCTTCGCAGCAACAAAACCGCTACGAACAGGATCGCTACGAACAAGATCGCTACGAACAGGACAGGAGGAGGCAAGAGGACCAGGTCAGGGCACAGCGCGAACGCGAACTCCAGCGGCAGAGGCAGGAGTACGAGCACCAACAAAGGCTGCAGGCTGAAGCTGAAGCTGATTGGGAGAACGATATTCCAAAGAAGGTTACTCCAGCGGCGAAACAAGAAATTGGCGGAGGCGGCTATTCGCGAGATCAGAGCCCGTCAGGCCAGAGGTACAACCCCAGCCGCCCTGCGCCATCCACTCCCGGTGCAAGAGGCCCACAGCAGCAGCCCCCGCGGCAGCCAGTCGCACAGCGTCCAGCACCTTCTGCACCTCAGCAACAGAATGGTGGCTACAGCACATCTCCTTCCAAAGCGCAGTCAACTCAGCAACGACCACCCATGGCCTCGAAGAATTCGAGTGGCCAGGTTCCCAGGGTTGCTAATGGTCAAAACCAACAGCAAAAGCAATACCAGCCAGGTGCTGCACCCAAGCCGTTGAACGTTGCTAAGCCTCAGAATGCTCCTGTCAGTGATGCAGTGAAGAAGGCCGAGCAGGCCCTTACTGCTAAGCCCAAGGAGGAGCCAGCACGGAAGGATGTGCGCATGTCCAGCATGTCCGAAGGCGAGGTCATGGCGAAGCTCCGGGAGGTCGTATCCAAAGAACGGCCACTGGACTCGTACAACAAGCAAAAGAAGATTGGTCAAGGTGCTAGTGGTTCCGTGTATGTTGCTCGCATCCGTGAAGGTGCCACTTCGCCCATGGCCCGAAGGGTTATGCAAGAAAATGGCCCACGTGCACAGGTCGCTATCAAGCAAATGGATCTCCGCAACCAGCCACGCAAAGAACTTATCGTAAACGAGATTATCGTCATGAAGGACAGCAAACACCCCAACATCGTCAACTTCTTGGACGCGTTCTTGCAAGAGGAGCAGTCCGAGCTCTGGGTCGTCATGGAGTTCATGGAGGGAGGTGCTTTGACCGACATCATTGACAACAACCCTTCCATTAGCGAAGACCAGATCGCGACGATTTGCTTCGAGGTAAGCTATGTAGCATGGACTTTCGGGAATCTACACTGACAATCATCAGACCTGCAAGGGACTTGAGTACCTTCATAACTTGAACATCATCCACCGAGACATCAAGAGTGACAATGTCTTGCTCGATGGCCGTGGCAATGTCAAGATCAGTATGTTCCCGCCACGTAACCTCCATCGACAGCTTGCTAACCTTTAACAGCCGACTTTGGTTTCAGTGCGAAGCTCACCGAGCAGCGCAGCAAGCGTGCGACTATGGTTGGAACTCCATACTGGATGGCCCCTGAAGTCGTCAAGCAAAAAGAGTATGGCAACAAGGTCGATATCTGGTCTTTGGGTATCATGGCCATTGAGATGATCGAGTCTGAACCACCGTACCTGAATGAGGAACCGCTCAAGGCTTTGTATCTCATTGCCACCAATGGCACTCCTCGTCTCAAGAAGCCAGACAAGCTCTCGAAGGAGCTCAAGGCTTTCTTGTCGGTCTGCCTTTGCGTCGACGTAAAGTCCCGAGCGAGTGCCGGAGAGCTGATCAGCCACGACTTCCTCAAGAGCGGATGCAGCCTAGCGAGCCTATCTCAGTTGCTTAACTTCAGGAAGAACGGCGGCCACTAAACCCCTACTGGGCACACCACTACAGCATGAAGAGTTCTTCCGGTTAGAGCCACAAGAGTAATGGCGAGCTGTTTCATGCTTCTGGACTTCGATACCCTTTTCATGTACATTTTCCCAGCTATACCCAAACTTCTCGGCTTCCGTCCTTACCGAACGATCGACGACATACCACGAAACCTAGGAAGGCGTCATTCGCTTGGGCAATATCAGTCTGGTCATCTGTACCCTCTGGTCGCTACGGAATTTGCCTCTATACATCCCATGTAACTACTCCATCCGCTATTCGCCTTCTCGTCCGTCTTTCAGAGCGCCAAATCAAGCACCCTACGAGTGATACATCTGCCTCCAAAGTCTACAAACGGTGCTCAAAGATTATGGAATTTGGAGGAGTGAGGTTCATTGCTCAACTACAATACCAAGTCCTTCGCTTCGGGCCCGATATGCGTGCGTGCCAGGCAACTTGTCATGTTTGTCCTTTTCAATGTTCCACAGCGTAGCGATATCACACGGTCTGGCAATCTTAAGCATCCAGGCGCAATATTTAGGGCTCTTCGTAATTAAATCCTTTGGGAGTACATGTGGATACTGATAGATTCAATGGCAATGTCATAAAACTTCAATGCGAGCTCTTTTTCTTTCGTGCTTGGCTGGCCACCAATGTCGCAACATGGCTGACCATTCGTCACGTGCCATGAACACTACACCTGATCCCACCTCATCAACGTCTCCACCTAATGTCCCTTAGTAGCGAAATCAAACTGCTTTTGCAGGCTACAACAGACTTGGGAACATCTGACAACCGGTAATGCATATCCAGGGTGGCTCTCTATACCCACACCAGTCAAGACAAAGTGAGCAGAGTTACAGTTTGGGTCTACGACTGCGTTTGGTCACGTCTATCTTCTCCTGATATGGATGTGTTGCTGCATCCGCGCAGCT